GGGAACTGACCAAGTCGAAATGACATGTTAAAAATATGGGTTAATGGTTTGCATATCCCCTCAATTGCCCATTTAACAGTTGTCATAGTGATGCCATCACTATCACTAGATGTTTTGTTACCACATTTATTCACTATCTCTATAATTTCCTTTTCAACTATGGGCTTCAAAAACATAGAACTCATGTTCCTTTCGATTGTATTATTATTTATAGTGATGGATGTATCATCTGTACAAATGCTTCTTGCTAAACCAGGACCAACATTCACAAAGAACCTATTAAACTTATCAACTACATCCTCAAATCTATTGACCGGTGTGTCATTATCCATAAAATATTAAGGGTAGTTACTCATGCTGGTACTGTTTCTAATCAGTTTATTTAATATATTCCAAGTACCTCTCATGTTATTTTTATTATCCTCTAATACTTTAGAGTAATATAGTTTCTTACATCTCCTCAAAATCTCAATTAATTTGTTCTTATATGACTTATATTTTTCTTCTGCCTTCTTTGATCTGTCCTTTATGAATTCCTTATATAACGCATTCTTCTTTTTACATGCATTCTGTAATCCCTTACTCATCCACGGTTTCCCACTGTAATTCCTCTTGTTTTTATACTGCTTACTAGGACAGTTCCTGTCATATATATCATGAATATATTTAAAAATTGCTCATATGCTTTGTCTAAGTCTTCCTCTCTGTAAACTGCTTCCCAGTCTTGTAAACTGATTCCCAGTTGTCGAAAGAGCTTTGAAAACTATAGGCCACTGCAGGAAGACATATCGTACTCTGTAACTGGATATTACCTCCTAGTATTACAAAGAGATTCCATCCTCCTCCTGACACCATAAATATAAGACAAACTCACAGATGTATATATGGTTTTGGTGTAGAATCTGCCACTTTGCTCTCCAGCTGGTGTATAGTCTGAGTAATCCAGCAGGTCAGTGACAGTCTCCTTTTCTCTAGTCCACTTTTGGAAACTCAGCCATTTTGTACCGGGGGCTTGAGAGTGTCATTACATGTACTGCACTTAGTATTTATTTCACTTTATTCCCCCAGAGAGAATTCAAAGTGGCTCACTGCTGTTGTCAGACAATATTTCACTCCTGTCTTGTACGTGAGTTTCAGATGAAGCTCTGTTGTCATCTCAGGCTCGGTTAAAAAATGATGCTGTGCCCTACATGCTCAGTTTAAATGAGACAAGCTGTTGGAGGGTTGTCTCAGTCTTACCAGCTCAGTAGAAAGAATGGTTTTACTGAGCAATGTTCCAGAACGGTTAAGCTAATGTAGTCCTTTTAAAAACCTGGGTGAATGTTAATTAGTTGGGCTATTACAGTGTGTAGCTATGCTACTGTGCTAATAGGAGCTGTGTCTGTTTATCTCCTTTAAAATAAGTGAAAAAGAAAATATAAGTGTACAGTAATTTTAACCCAGTTAGCTGAGACTAAAACCAGAAATGCTTTTTTTAAATCTCCCATAACACTGGATCTATTAAATGAGGTACTGCAGTCGTATAATACAGTTTGCACTGTAACCCCACTAACACAAGAGGGGAGTGTTGCATTGCTCATTATAATCACAGTTTCAGCAATGCTGGGATACTGTGATGAGCATGCAATCACAAAGATGGCGAAGACCAGACTTGACCGCTAGGCATTGCCTACCAACTAGTCCTATATTAATGTATATACAGTTTTTTTTTTTTTTGATCTGATAGTGAAATTAATCACTGCAGTTGTTTTTTTTTTACAGAGCATCTGAGTGGTGATGCATGGGAAACACCATTCCAATTGACAATTAGTCATCCAACCATCTGCTTCTCTGGCACTATTTGGTCATTAATACTAACAAAATGAAGAAACTACTGATTATTAGCAACAGCGACCACCACTTATCATCACGGCCACATGCAGAAATAATGAAGGTTTTAGTCCATGGTGTGTTACATGAGTACAAACGTTTTTAACAGGTTTGTGTATTGTTTCATTTACCTGAATAGAGTATGAGCATAAAAAGCAAACTCGGCTTTGTGTGGCTGCACGGAAGCCAAGGACAAGAGGATCTGAGAGGATCTGAGAGGATGCGAGAGCTAGCGATGTTTGCCAACAACTTTAAAATTTTGGATCAAACTGTAGTATTTTGTGTAAAGACCAGTGAAAATCCCTAAAACACAACAATTATTTCAGTACTGATTTTCAGACCTTTCATACTCATGATTTTTTATCTGTGAATGGAGCTGGCTCAGGTGTCACTATTGTACCTCACCCAAGTGTGGAACTGGGAGATTAGATTTCACTACATACAACATAGTGCACATTTACACACGGCACTGTTTGAGCCCTTAACCATCTGGGTATGGATGTAGTAGCCAGACAGTTACAGGGTGTTTGTTTGGAAAATCAAAGCAAAATGATAAACAAAGACAAAAATATTAGCTTTTAGGTTCCAGCTGTTGTTCCTAGTAGCTTAGTGTGTCCCACAGGGGCATGTCAAAATGTTTGCGTGCTGTCAACACACAGGCTGTCAGAGTACATGAGGGGATGGTAGTCATGCTACTTTCAGCACACTTCTGACAGTCTGAGGGTCTCCCTTATGTCTCTTTCTCTCAAGCTTTCCCTCTCTCTACCCCATCTATCTCTCTCTCTCCAGGGTCGCTTACTCCTTGCTTGTACAAGTTTCCAGATCATGGTCTAAGTAGTGGCTCTTGTGCATTAAGCCATGGCTTTTCCTCGCTGCCCTCGGCCCTCCTCTCGACTGATGAGGTCCCTGGGGGCCCCAGTGTCGGAGACATAAAAGCTGACAGCCAAAGAAAGAGCATGCGGGACCCTGAAGAAGTCCCTGCCATGGACTCCCCACAGATACAAGAGCTGGAGATGTTTGCCAACGACTTCAAAATACGAAGGATTAAACTCGGTGAGTACAAATCATTAAATATAGCTTGAAATGATCTCACTATCCAACCACACCATCCTACCCCTTTCTGCATTTGCACACATCTATTGCTCTGCCCATGCACAGTATGTGTAAAGCATTTCTATTTTTGTTTCATTTTGACTGCCAGGTTACACCCAGACTAATGTAGGTGAGGCTCTCGCTGCAGTGCACGGCTCGGAGTTCAGCCAGACTACTATCTGCCGCTTTGAAAATTTGCAGTTGAGCTTTAAGAACGCCTGCAAACTGAAGGCCATTCTGTCAAAATGGCTGGATGAAGCTGAGCTGGCTGGTGGTGAGTCACGCACATTCCACTGAGTATTTATTGAAATGCAGTGTGCTCTTTTCTCTTCTCAGTAAGGTAGTGAAACCCCTTGCTTTATGAAGCCAAGCGTTTCTTGTATGATCATGAAGATCTACCAGCAGCTTATGGGTCATCTAGGGCAGTGGTTCTCAATGTTTTTGTTTTAGGACTGAGTCCGTTTCACCTGAGAATAATTTTCCTTTCTTAGTCTGTTTCATTTGAATGATCTTTAGATGTATAGAGACAATTTAAGAAAAATGCTTTGGGACTGAAATATGTTCTCTCTTCTGTCTTATCCTGTTAATTACCTCCTAAGTTGTACAGGTGGGTGACAAATGAAAGGAAAATCTGAATAAATGAGTGTTTTCTTCCAGGATGACAGTACCCAGATTGTCACCGGACATTTTGATGAGTATGAAAATGATGTGCTTCACAGTAACCAGTGCACCTCCATCATCAAAACACTAAATGAAGGAATATCTTTTGGCAGAATGGTGTTAATCCCTCCACTAGAGTTCAGAGACTTGCACAGTCAGTGCCAAGGTGCACTGAAGCTGTTCTTGTGGCATATGGTGAGATACTTTATGTTGGCTTTTCCTTTCATTTGTCACCCTTCTGTATCTTGTGATCTCCTGGAGGGGACCAGGAAGGCACAGAAAACATTGTGGAAGAATATTTTGATAGTTGAGGCCTTTTTTCTTTTATTTTACAGAAAATCGCAGGCATACCAGAGTAACCGCATTTTTTCTTTCCTGCAGCTTTGTACAATGATAAAATAGGGATGAATGAGAGAAAAAGAAAAAGGAGAACAACTATCAGGTATCCACTGTAATGAGCAAGCATACCATACACTTTTCTTCAGTCTCATCGACTTCTCGTTTTCATTTCTTCTCTGCCCTTTGTTCCAGCTTGGGAGCCAAGGAGGCCCTGGAACGTAGCTTTGTAGAGAAAAGTAAGCCATCGTCTCAAGAAATAGCCCGGATAGCCAAAGGTCTGCATCTGGAAAAGGAAGTGGTCAGGGTCTGGTTCTGCAACCGACGCCAAAGGGAGAAAAGGGTTAAAACGAGCCTCAACCTCAGCTCCTGTTTGAGCAAAATCAATCCAAACTGTGTAGCACAGATGAGTAAAGCACAAAGACCAGTGACATAATTTAATGTTCAGAGAGAGTCCGTTTATTGATAGCTGACGACAGACAGTGAAAAGGTGTCATTTTTAAATCACATGTCTGTCGGAAATCATTCCAACATGAAGTGGAAGAGTTTTACTCAACAGGGACCAGCAACACCTCATCAAAAACCCTTCCACTCTGCATTAAGCAGCTGCCGATGCACCTCAAACTATTTTACTGATTTAACATTCAGATGGGAATTTTTATCCTGTGACAGTCGTCCTGAGGGGGGGAAGGACTCCATCACAACTTTGCTATTAAAACAAGTCACTATCAGCAGCAGTGGGTTAATTAGCACAAAAAGCCCCTATAGCAGTTTTCTTAACCCTATTTTAATGTATTATTTTTCTTATTTATTGGATTAAAAATTTTAGATCCATGAATGCCAGAAAAATTCCATTTTAAAAAAATGTGTAATTGTCAAAGCAGCCAGTTCAACATTTTTTTTTTTTTATGATAAAAAGGTTTTATTAACTGCATATGATCTGCTGGTTTGATGCTGCAGCTCCCAACCCTGACATTTAAATGTATTGAATCTTGGCTGTGCCAAAGTTGCTTTATGAATGTTGAAAGTACAGTATATTAACCACGCAGATCAAATATAATTTAATCCACCAGCATCAGATTCCAGATAAGTACTCATATAGATCAGGCATGTGCCTTCCTAAAACCAGATGTTAGCAATACTACTTTGTCCCTTTTTCTATGCAAGCGAGAAGGGATATGTTGTTGCTTAAATGAAGTATTCTACATTTATGTCTGCATTGAACAGCAGGACTCAGAGCTATAGTTGTATGTTTGTGAATTTGTGATTAGAGCTGATACGTCTGTCTTCTTTGAAATTATGTCACTGTCTTTTGATAAATGTTTGATTATATTTTATTTTAACCGACACAGCCGTGGCAAAAACAGTAATATATTTAATATTTCACAATAACCTATTTATTTCCAATTTAATACATTATGTTGATCTGCTTACTAGCTCTTTGATTTATGCCCTGAAGTCAGGGATATGTGAGGCTTTTTGACATTTTTGTCAAATGGATCTGAGGTCCGCTATTTCCCTCTTATAAGACAGATTTAATTTTTCATGTTTGTCAGTGTTATGCTGTTTTGTGCTGTCTTGACAGAGTGTCATACAAAAAAAGAACATCAGCCAGTCACAACTCTGACCTGTTTTGGATGACTGATGTGAATGAAACGTCTTGAGTAAAGTAAAGCAACAAGCTAACACACCTTGTCAGACAAAATCAACTTACAGGTACCATTGATTGGTGTCTGGAAGAGCTAGGAAATGATTGGATGAATGAAAATATATCTCATGCAGATTGATACAAAGTGCCTCTATTCAACTTGACTGAAAAGGTTATAATGCCAAAGACATACCGGTTTACAGTAGTGCAAAATTTTACTGTGTTAAAAATGGTCCCTTTCAGTTCCCGGCCATTGAAAGGTAAATCAGTTCAGCTCGTATTTGGCAACCAATAAACTGTGTTTTATGAACAACTACATGTACCATCTTTCATTTATGCTGGTGTTGTTACATCACACTATGAATAAAGACATTAGGAGGAAGTGTGGTTGGGTGTACAACATGAACTGTACCACTTACTGTATGTGGGTGTCATTTGAGGTTCATAAATAAAGACTAATTCTGAAACAAGCAGTTCCCACTGTCATTCACACACAGCTGTCTAAACGGATTGTTGTCAGAGGAAATAAATGCAGCAGGGTCACCGACTGCCATCCCATTTCTAAGGCCATACAGTGGAAGGTTATGGGCACCGTATGCTGAAAACTAAACTAAGACACTTCTTAAACCCAAAATTTACTTCTGGGAATTTTATTGATTTTTTTTTTGAGAGAACATTATAGTGCATGTAAACTCCTCACCCCTGTCAGTGTGCATTTCAGTGTCTTGTGCCTAAAGGTTCACAACCCCCACCCCTCCACTCAATTTGCTACACACCTATACTTTACACTTGTACTTATATCGATGGAGAAATATGTGACGGGGTGAACTTCTGCTGCTGTGCGAGTTTATGCAGCATGCGTGCACTGACTGTTGTAGTGTCCAACGCTATAAACAGTTATGTCTGTTCAGAACCTTTTAACAAATATCAGGGCTTTGTGTTTCGTAATGAAGAAACATGTCATCCAGTGCAGCAATGTGTTTCATTACTGTGCTGTTAATCATTTTTGAACAACGGAGATCTATGGAACAAAAAATAAACTAATCCAGGACTGACAGACATTAACGGTGAGTAGAGTCAAATCATTTTTGGCTTTAGTCTCCGTATGAGGACTGTTGCAAATACTATTAATATAGAAAATAATGAGCCTTATCCTTTAAAATCTGGCCCTCTTTTTTAATCCAGTGATGCTATAACACAGAGGTTCACACCAAACTGTATCTGAAGAAACTTTACTCCTTACAAAAGAAATAAACCCTTTACAGAATCACTCAACAATGACCAGAAGGAAAGAAAAATGAGTATACACACATTTTAAAAGTGTGGAAATTTCCTAAACACCGCACTCAATGTCAACATCTGCTATAACATTGTTGCTCACAATCACAAAAGATGGATATGAAGGGAGAGGTAAGAATGATTTACAAAATTCAGTGAATTATGAATTGTGCATGTCAGATACATGACAGAATGAACACATTTTGAATGTATTTTGGCAATGGGAATCAATATCGAAACAAAAGTCCAGAGAGAGAGAGAGAGAAAAACTCGGCAATGGGAATCAATATCGAAACAAAAATCCAGAGAAAGAGAGAGAGAAACTTAAAGACTACATTAACATTAGCGTAAACCTTTGTTGCTCTCATGAAGCCTGAAGCTGGCTGACATTAACAAATCACTGTACAGAGAAATCAGTTTCAGCTCTGAAGAGGAGGGTCACAGTGTCATTTAAGCAAACACTTCCATCATTCTGTTGCTGTAGTGTCTGTGTATGTTTGTGAGTGAGGCAGCTTCAAATAACAAATGACAATAACTGCACAGCAGCTGAAAGAGAAGAGAGACTGCAGGACCAGTGCTATCCTACAATCACTATGTAATTCCCAAGTCCAACAGAAGATACACAATCAGATAGCAAGAAGCCAAAAAACTCATTTGATTACTCGGTAGCATCAAACGGCTGATTCACAAATCATTGATATGCCAGTCTTCATTCGTCCTAAACTGCGCTTGATTGAGTTAAGTCAGACACTGTGCAACATCACAACCACAGTGGCACTAATTAGATGCTAGTTTGCTCTCTGATCAATATCACCATCTCTTACAAGTCAAGGGCTTGTTCTAGCCCAAAGGCATCAATGTCACGTACACATTTTACATGCATCTATCTGTCTCCAGTATCTATGGCAGCGTCCCTACAGATCTTAAAACCATGATAACTCACTAATGACCAGTTGCTGTCTTTGGTTGGTGATAGTAACTGACTCAGTGCTGATGCATTTTCTCCCTTTCACTTGCATGTGTCCTAGTTCAGATAACCCAGGATGACAAATGAATCAAACAGCACTGTATCCAAACAATAATGGAAACCTTGGCCAGAGAATGCCTTGACAAACATAGTTTGCCTCAGTAGAAGCACAGCAGATAGGTTTTAAATTAGCCTGCGAAAACAAAGAAAGAAGGTAAAAAGTGTGAGTAGGAACCACGAAGCTTTACTCACTGGAGTTTTACTCATTGAAAACTCGCTGGAGAAAGGCCACCCATCTTCAGTCAGGTAAAAGCTGATAGTTTATATAATTAACAAATTTGTCCAAGCATCCAATGGGAAAAGTTCACACTGTCAGGTCATATATACACTGTAGCACTTGTAAAGGCAGAGATGGATGGTAAACAACAGTGTAGGTGGTTGTTTAGATCAAGCATCAATTACTGGTCCACCAACAGGCTGTAGCCACGCATGTGTCATAATAAATAACTCTGCATAAATAGATCAAGTTTTGCCCTCATCATCTGTAAGGCAACCTGCTGAAGACTGTGAGAATATGTATGTTAATATATACCTTCTGAATGTGTATATGTGTGTGTGTGTGTGTGTGTGTGTGTGTGCACCCTTTGTTATACCTGTAGCATTTAAATCATGACAAAACCAATATGCCTAGCAGAGTCTGTATCTCTCAGTATTAATGTTGCACTGGTTTAATAATGTGAACATTAACACAGAGAAGACAGTTAGTCCACTCCCAGAGCTCGGAGCTGTCTTTCAATCTCGTCGTCAGAGATGGTGGCTTGTTTGGAGGACGAGGCTGCACTAGGGATGCTCTTTCCTGCAGCTGGAGCTCTCACCATCTGGATGTGCACACATGGGTAGAAAACACCCATTAGCAAACACACTCAATTCAAACTTTGTTCACATTTAAAATCACAACATTTGCCTGCTGCTGCTAATTGTCTAATCAATTATTGTCAAAAATGTTTATTAACTATTAACTACATTAAATAATTCAAACTGCATTAAGTAATGTTTGATGTCTCTTTAAATTACTATCGTCTACCTTGGTTTCAGTTAAACAGGCCTTTTTTCCCCAGCATCAATAATCTTTCCTTTGCAAAACAAGTTATCACAATTTCTTTAATGTATAGATTTCCAAGTTTGTGGTTTATGGCCAATTACTATCAGTGCTGCAAGCTTCGTTAGGCCTTTTATCTGGTGTTATACAACAATCTTGGATTCAGTGCCTAATTAAATAAATGAAGATCTCAATTCAAACTTATTAAATAGTCTGATGGCTGACTGCTCTACCCCCTGAGCCACAGCTGCACACACACACAGTTTATGATTCTTGTGACCTCCTTTAAGTTTTAGGGTTGAATGAGAAAGCCAGTGTTGCAGGTTTTTATAAACCCTGCCTGTTTCGTTTCTCTCCAGCTGTGAGCTTGTTTATAGGACAATTTGAGACTTTCCACACTGTGTTATGAGAGGTAATAACTCATGGAGCCCCGCAGGGGGAGACAGTCACACAGCAGATGGTCAGCCTGGCAGTTATATAGACTGCAGTATTCAGAGCTAGAAGAGCTGAAGGCTAGCCCCACCATGTGGCAGCTGGAATGCATTTTAACAGTGGAGTTAAACATGTGGAGCACTTTTGTTCACTCCATTCTGCTTGTCCATGAAGACAAGTTACATCTGTGGTACAATTTAATGCTTTCACTTTTTGAATAGTGAAAACACTTCAATAGATAGAAACAAATGAAACTGGTATTGTCAATGGGCTTAAAGAGTGTTGTCCCAGTAAACAGTTTAAAATTAAGGTATGTACAATCTACAGTATCAGGTTAGTGGCAGCTCGTTTCTCATTTGGAATGTCTTACCTTTCCTGAGATCTCAATGCCAATCTCATCCAGAACCTGGTTGACAATGTCCTGAGATTCCTCTTCATCTCCAGACTCCTCAAAGATGTCATCCAAAGTGTCGTTGACTGGACGGACAGTGAAAGAGGGAGGGAGGCGACAGGGGACAAATGGATCAATTAGAAGCAAGTCAACATACTGATTTTCAGTCGCAACCTGGACTTGAGAGTGAGATAGATTTAGCAAGTAAATATATGTTTGTGTGGACACCTGTTTAAAATGATTATTTATGGTTATTCATTATTGCTCTCATCATAACAGACTGCAACATGTCACTCCTCACATCGGTAACATATATCCTGACAATGTGGTGTTAGCCTCTAAATACCATACCTCCCTGTGTGTGAATGTGTGTTTTGTGTATCCTTACTCATGTCCTCGGTCATGCCCATCTTCATGTTCTCCTTCTGGAAGTCCTGCATTGTCTTCAGGGTCTTCTGTGGATCCATTTTTTTATTCACTGCTTGCATTGTCTGTTGATATTATTATACAAAGGTTAAGTAAATCTGATTCCAGAGGACGTCTGCCCTCATTATACATCAGTGTGCCAAGGAAATATCAGCTTGGTTGAAACAGGGCTCTAGAAAACTTGCTATGCAGCTTTGTGTGAAGGATCAGCACAAATGTGGCCTACTTTCACAACTGAGCCTGACACAACAGATAACATACAGATAGGTGACAAATGACAGGAAAGCCCTGAAGAAATGAGCGGGCTCTTTAACAGTGCAACCCATCCACAGGGCACAAGGGGCCACCGAATGGTCTGATGAGGATGAACATGATGTGAATCATATGCCGTGGCCTGAGGCACCAGATCTCCATCCAGCTGAACAGGTGGGAGATTTTGGAGCGACGTGTTAGACAGCATCTCCACCACCATCATCAAAACACCACAGGAGGGAAAATGTTTTGGAAGAATGGTGTTCATCCCTCCAGTAGAGTTCAGAGACTTGGAGAGTCAATGCCAAGGTGCACTGAAGCTGTTCTGGAGGCATCTCGCTAAGATATTTTATGCTGGCTTTTCCTTTCATTTGTCACCCATCTGTATATCCTTGTCTCTGTTTTACTGTACTGGTCCAAATCATGTTGGCTTACAGCATCCAATAATGTGGGAGGAAAGTGCTGCACTTATTATTGAATAAACTTAACTTAATGTGACTTTTTTTCTACAAGAGTTGTATGTGTGCACATCTTTGTATAAAAAGAAAGTCTGACATAAAACAATTAGCACGTTCTCTCTCTGTCTCACAAACACAGTCACACACCCACCTCATCACACTCCATTAAACTGAAGCCTAATTATATTTGACCTGTCTGTGTTTGCTAAGTCTGACTCTGTTTAGTACATCGCTCCTGGCCAATTACTACCTTTCACACTTCATTAACAATCATGCTGCAAGAATTGGCTTTCAACATAAACACACTCCACATTAATACTTTAATTACAACACTAAAATGCTGATAGAAGTAGACACTAAAACTAGCTCACGTTCAAAACTAACTTTTCTAAAAGTGAACTAAATATAGTGGATATCAAGAGTAAATGGCCATTTAAATATTAATCAAAGTAGGAGCAAACCTAAGCAATGAAGGAGCTGTCCGTCTTTAATTACACTAAATCTGTTTGTAAGGTATGCAAAACAACAAAAAAATACATGAATATGAAGACAATAATAATTTCAGTGGCCTGTTCTGGTCGTACACAGTGTGCAGGTATTACTTTTTACAAAAGCTGTCTTTTAACACATTCACTTTTTATTTTTTGCTTGTTGTTAATACAGCCCCCTTCTGCTTTCAAACAAAAGCTAACCTGCCATCTCAGCACATTAAAAATTTAAAAACCGGACCTCAGACCAGCAGAACTGAATGACAGGCTCCAGGACCTCACCTTGGCTGTAGTGGACATAGCACCAGCCATCTTCATTTGGGAGTTCATGACCTTAGTCTGCGTAGACATGGAGGTGACCTTCGAGCTGACGGCGTACGTCCGGTTCTTCTGCTTCCTCAGCTGGACCAGCTGTTTGGCGAGGATCTTACATGCCTCCCGGTTACCACTCTTTGCCATTTTCTTGATCTCTGCCTCCTGGAGAAGGAGAGAAGGAAGATCAGAATTTAACACCTAACCCTTAGAAGATTCTTTGTGTCTCAATTTTTCCTACTTAATGTTAATATTGTAAACATCACCTTAAACTTGCATACTATCTTTGCATACAAATATACCAAACAAATATTTATGAAAATAGTAAGAAAACATTTTATTTCCCACATGACAGAATGGTATGGAATGGCAGAAGATAAAGCAGGGGGAGCAGCCACTAATAGCTCCAAATATGCTGTAGCTATTTGGAACAAATCCATTGAGGCTGCTGAGGGTGCTCATTTCCCCTGGTTTCATGGGTTAAGTCAGTCATCTGCCTCACAGTAAAAATAAGCATTATATTTAGAGATAATGTCACTGTGTATAGGAATATACACTACAAGTAACAGAGGGATTAGAGCTAACCGTAACATAGTACAGATTAGCCACAGCATTTCAATCCAAAGTCATGCTTTTAGAGCTTCATTATGTCAGTGAGTGTCACCAGTTATTGATCTGTTTCAGCAACCACACATGCTTAAGCATGACAAAAGGCACATTGAGATCTGAAAGAATCAGGATGGAACCTTGTAGACGGTCATTATTTAGCAGAGAACCTCATTTTAGTAGCGTATCCATCCATACTGACTCTCACATAGTACAGTATGTCACATGCCTTCTTCTTCCTGCTGTATATCCATACACAGTATACTCATGGGTATGTGCATGCAGATTAAAACAATTCTGCCCACTCAGAAAATCTATTGTTTTGACTATGGTGAACATGATTCATATTTTTTTCTTGTGCACTTTACATTAGAAAAAGGGTACAAGTATGCATTTATACAAACACCATGAACTGATTCTAAATGTATCCACAATGCTCCCAGGAGACCATTGTGTATAGACAATAGTAAATACAGTCACATGGATCAGATGTTCCTCACTGGCAAGCAAATATGTGCATTTAGGTTTGGTAAACATCAGAAAACATGCTGCTGCCCACAGGAATACTGTGTGTGTGAGCATCCCAGGAGACAGTGGTGGAGCTCCAGGTTACAGAAAGCAGGCCTCTCAGCACTGCTGCACACAACAGCTTCTTGTGTGCACACTGAAGGCATCCTCTCCAGGAAACAACAGTCAATTATTAATGTTTTATAGTGCAAAAGCAACAGACGTTCCCCACTCAGCTCTGGCTCTGTCTCCAGCACACACACACACACACAAACAGCTGCATTAGTCTAGTCTCTCTCTATGTTTTCCTGCTTGTGAAGAGGGAAAAAAATTCAAATGAATGCCAATGCTGTGTGGAAAAAAGTCACACGGTGACAATAATAATGTCAACACTGCTGTCTTCTAGAGCATTATGAATGTATTAATGAGGAAAGCATGCACACAGTGGGGCTGCTACTGATGTGACTCTTATAATGTCTTATTTACTGCCCTGTCAGAAAATAGGAGGAGGGGGTGGAGGCGAGTGGTGGAGAGATAGTGCCTTCCTAGATATGAAGGAGTGCACTGCACAACTGGACGGCTGGAATTAATCTGGGTTGCTTGTTGTGGATTTTTATGTACAACAGATGAAACATGTGTGGAATTCTACAGCTGCTGATACAACCTTTAATCAGGTGGTTTTCTTTTTTATTCATTACTTTTTCAATGTCTTTTTGTTTCAAGAATCCAAAGTTCATCCTATTTGTTTTCTGCATAGTCTAAAACTGGCCTAACATAAAAAAAGACCTAATTAGATATTTTACTGACACAAGCTACTGAAACATGTTAAACAGAAAGAACTGAACTGTAAAGCAGCATCAACTCCAACTGTGATTAATAAAATATGGAATGCAAAGCTTCACTGCACTGTGAAAAGACTAACTGTGATATTAACACTTTTTACAGTCAAATTTAATGGAACCTGCAATATGGATGACCTCATTTCTTTTCCTTCTTTTTTTTACTGCAACACAGAGGACATTAGCAGAACAGGGAGGACAAACCAATGGATTCATGGCCTAATTTCCTGAATGTGGACCTTCAGGACATGTCTGTCTTTTATTTTTGCCCGCTTTCTTTCTTAGAAAATGAAGAGCTTGACTTTAAAAGTACTTTGACTTTCAGTGGATAACCGCTGCGCTGTGCCGTTGTTATGCTGCACTCCATTTACCTCGGAGGTCGGAGCTGGGAATGATGTCACACCCGAGTTAACTGCGTTCCAGAATGCCAAGTCGAAAAATCAACACAGACGGGGTTTGAGGTGGTTAGCCACTTTTAACAATACTAGTTTATAACAACGCATTACGAGGTGTCAGCACATACAAACATTGTGGCAATAATCCATCAGACAAAGGTTGGATAGTACTGGTTGTCCGACTGGTACGGTAAGACAAATGAGACACAAGTGCTAATAAACGGTATATTTTGCGTGGTGTAGCCATCTTGGATTTTAAAGTCAGGGATGGTGTATTTCCTCCGACTTTCCGAGAAGGAATTCCTTCTTCAATGGGCGTTGCAGCTGAAAATTCCAACTTGGAAATTCCGACTTCCAACTTCAAAAGCAACGCAGCATTATGCTGTGTGCATGTGAATGTGTGAGCGTGTACATGCAGTCACAGTGAAAGTCTGCAAGGTGGAGGGCAACGAGCATGATGATGGTAAACTGCAGATATAGGTCATTTCCTCTTTTTTTTGGAAAGTATCTTTTATTCAGAACGCTCAAGAGAAAACAAGACTAATTAGCAGAAAGTATTAATGAGGAATTAAAATGTGGTTCCCCAGGGGATGTAATTATGTCCTGTATGATATTTACTTAACACAACAGAGGGGAGAGGACACAGGCAGCTTCTTTCATCTTTCAGAAAGGAGGAAGCATTTGCCTGTGAATGTAGTCTTATTGTGTTTTCCTGTGAATGTGTGCGACAGTGCATTCTTACTTGCCTGAAGCACAGTCACACTTATCAGATCATTCCTATCTATTGCTTTACACCCATTAAACAATGAGGCTGAATCCCAGATTGTAGGAAGTGGATGTACAGCAATATGCATCTCTCTAGCTGTGTGTGTGTGTGTGTGTGTGTGTGTGTGTTGGGAGAGCACAAGGATATTAATTAAGCATTGATGCAATAAGTAGAAATATAAGGAAATGCATGGCATAGAAATATTTTGTTTCCCAAACTCTTTGTGTCTTGTGTGTGTGTGTGTGTGTGTGTGTGTGTGTGTGTGTCCCACCATTTGCTTCTCTTGTTTCTCCAGTGCTGCTCTGTCCCTGGTGATCTGTCTCTGAGTGCCACGCAACTCCTTGGACTGTTCCTTGATTATGTCTTTTGAGAGAGAAAGAGACAGACAAAGAGAGAGAGAGGAAAAGAAAAAGATCAGTCCATACTTTGTAAAATCGACAATACTTGTATTCACATAACCCAACAACCTTTTGTTCCAGATACTGAAAAGACAAAGTGCAAATACACACTGCTGAATTTACATAATTATATGCATTGGACTTCACATCACTCTTTTGACAGGAACCTAAAAACAGTGGCATCTTCCCATTAATGGTTTAATGGCAAACCACCCTCTAAGGCACCTCTTTAAGGTGTGATACAGTGGTGAAAAGATGAACTGAAACATCTGTAAACATGATGACATTTTCAATTTGGACACCACTACAGGACGAAGTCTAGGTCAGCTACATGGACGAAATCTAACAATTCTATTCAGTGCCTTAATAGTGAGTGTGCCTGAGTGTGTGCCCACTTGCACACGAGATACCGTGAGTAATCAGCAGCACGCTGAGAACACACTGCCAGCGGTGGAAGCATTTGGACAGCTTGCACCAATACAGAGTCAGCTCTAAATCAAACAACACAAACATCAAGTGTCACCATGTGAGACACCGTATGACCCTGAAGTCACACATTGATCCACAGCTACTGAGTGAGGGACGGGTAAAGCAAAAACACACACACAGAGTCAATTCAGAGGTGCTTCTGGATGTTAAGCACTACATAAAGTGACAATTCAAAATAAATCCAGAAATAAATTAATTCATAAAGTTAAGTAAGGTCAGCTTTATTTATGACAAATGGCAAATCTGGCATAAAGGTCTTTACAATCCGCACAGCATAACCCTTTAACATGGAAATAAAGGGGAGAAAAGCCTCATCAAAAGCAACAGTGTACAGATTCTCATGATAAACGATGGGTTGTTTGGAAAGACACAAAAGGTTTTGACACTATAGTGGTGAAAAAAAATGAATGAATCTCAGCAAACCTTGGTGTTTGTCTTTGTTTACTGGTAATTTGCTGCTGTAACAACTTAATTTCCCTGGTGAGATTAACAGAGTTCTCTGTCGATGAAACACTGAATAATATATTTCTAAATCCCAATTCAGCTCTGTATTTTTAAGATGCTATATAACTAAAATATATTTTAGAAAAGGGTGAAACACTGCCAAAATTAAATACCCATTCTTTGTGAAAAGTTCAGCAATCACATCATTCGTGAGAACTACGTATGTATACGTATAAGTTGACGTACCGTCAACGTTTCAAAGTGGGAGGGATGTCATCCTACAAATATGTGTGATCTAACCCCCCCCCCCTTCATTCGCCAAATAAACAGAAACCATTTAGACCACCCAACAATGAAAAAACTATGTCCAGAAGACGACAGATCAGAGAAATTAACAACACAAGAAGATGGAGGACGGCCAAATATGTCAGATGAGAGGATTTGACAGCGACTTGGCATGAAGAGTAAAGTAGCACAGTAAGTACAGTATGCACATTATCTGTACGGGTGAAACTGGAATGACAATGATGGGAGGAGTAGGTAGGCGGTGCTGTGAAAAGATCTGAATTACCAACAGATGATATTTTTAAACATATATATATATATATCTATATATATATATAGATATATATATGCAATTCTCCACAAACACATGTTCGTGGTAGAGGAGGTGAGGTTCAGTCTGCCCTCCTTCTGGCAATCCAGCCCTACCAGTCAGCCTAATAAGTATTTGAAATAGAATAATTTATTCAAGAACTTTTATAAAATGAAAGGCCGAGCGTTTTCCTGTGTGACCTTGTAAGGCTTGATTACCTTGCCTGGAGAAGAGAAAGGGTCAAATTAATTGGCTTTTCTGATTTTTGACACCTGTGCATTGCTTATTAAAATTAACACATCCAACTATTGAGCGTTTCCCTTTCATTACATTTTTTTTAAACTCCATTTGTGATTATACTTTGGTTCATTTCATTCCCAGCAAGACAGATGCCTTACAGTCTATGTGTCTAACACAAATCTGCAAGTCATTTAATGTCTTTCTGAGAATGGCGATGTGGGACTTGGCACTAAGGTGGGGTAACCCTCCGATTCGTCTGAATAAACAATATTTAAGGTTTTAAAAAGTGAAAACAAATGATCCACTAATATCTATTTGACACAAACACCGGATTGATATAGATTTAATGATATATAGGACAAGTGTTTCTTTCCAGACATTACTTTACCTTGGCTCTAGTTTAGCAATACAGGCACCTTCTTCCTACTTGGGGCTAACAGACAGCTATCGATCAGTTTCAGCAGTAATGTTAAGTGGGAACTATACTAAACGACCCTTGTCTCACGCACAACCACCTACTGTTGATCAGAGTTAAGTACATTATATTCCAGCCATACACAAAAAACAGTTTCGCCGAAGCTACATTAAGTTCGCCAGCGCCAACACGCTGGTTTTAGACCTCAGACAACAGTGTGACTGTTGACTCAGCTACACCCAGAACAGGTTAAACAAGTCAGCGTTGAATGTGGATAAGCTACAGTGGCTAATTTAAAATGGAGCAACACATCACCCTGTACAAGAGGGCTAAAAACAAATTAGCTAGCTTTATTTTACACATGACAAACTTACCATCGACAGTCTTCTTCTTGAAAAGGGAAGAAGCCATGTCGCTGCTTTGTTAAAAAAAAAAAAAAAAAGTTAAATATCAAATATAAATCCTGTACTAATTTAGTGTGGGCTTTTCCTAACGTGAATTCGGTGTGTCAAACCGGCCGACGGGTCAATTTAGCAGCCTGTTTCCTGGTTGACTTTCTGTTGTCGGAGTTCCTCCCTCAGCTGACTGACTCAACGGCTCCACGTGACGTCACCACGGGACTATTCTGCTGCCTTCACTTGTGCCCGTAAAATCTCCTTTTTTGAAATTACAGCATGTCTGGAACGTCAAAATACTAAAGAAACCATAAAAGTGTATATCCTTAGGAATGTGTGTGAATTAGCAGCTAACTGCGACAGTGTATTTCTGGATCTAAACATGGATGGAGTAACTTTTAAGAATAACCCAGGACCCATAAAACAATGGAACCCTGTTGTTGCTGCCGTTGCTTCATCAGTGACTGTATGTCCACAGTGCTTCTGTTATGATCGTATGATATTCAAACCAGTGAAAGCTGCTCTGGTGATTAATAAGGTAGTGACAAGTGCAGACACATCAGCATGAAAACTATAACAAAATAATATAACAACATTTGCTTAAATTTAAATTTATTGAGCCATAAGTCCACTGTCTACACTAGAAAAACATTTTATACAGTCTTTGAAAGCAGCATAAAGGCAGGGAAACGTGATATAAATGTTCATTGGCAATAAAAAATGTATTATATTTGCTATTAAGTAACAGAATGAAATCATGTTGGGCCACATATCATTTATTTATTGCAGGGATTTCTATCTTCATATTTACATTATATTTAATCCAACTCCCTGGTTGGTTTTCCCTCCTTATTAGTCTTATGTGTGTTTTTGCATGTGATGTATACATGCATATGATACCTACAACTTATCTAAGCATCTAAGCATGTAACACCACATGCATGTGTCATAGCACACAGATATGTAAACTACTTTAAGGAAATAATCCACAAAGAGAATTACTGTCTATAAAATCACACACCGCAGCTCCTTGTGGCATTATAAATTCTGCTCTTCATTTCACTCCTAGCCTTTTTATCCCCACAGGAGTGGTCTTCCATACGCTCCTGAGTGAATTCATATATGTGTGTTGTCTTATTTCATCCTGATGCTGAGAGCAACTTTATGTGGCGGTGGGACTCTTGAACCATAACCAACTCAATTTGGTGCATGTGTGTGAGAAAGAATTGTGTGTGTGTGTGTGTGTGTGTGTGTGTGTGTGTGTGTGTGTGCGTGTGTTGGGGGATGGGGTGGTGGTTAGCAGAGAGCATGTAAGGGATCTCAGCTAACAGATAGTGAGAAATGCCAAGTTATGGCCAGAGCAGAGGAGACACAGGTGACTTTGAGGAGAGGAGGATGGGTAGCCCTTAGCTGTTTTCTCTATCTCCAAGAATGTGTGTGTGCACAAACACTCACCTGTGTGCATCGGCATGCCGTCCTGAGGCATTGTACTTGTTAAAGGTTATTAGGGAACATGTTTGGCTCTAATCAGTGGAGGACTACAGGGACCCTCGCCTAAATGTCTCATCATCAGAGGGCCAAGTGGTGATAAATCTAGCCCCAAGTGCCCAGAGGGCCTGTAGGTACACTGCCAAGCCTGTACTATATGTCTTGAGCTTTTCAGCTGCAAAGTAACAGCCTGTACTGTACATCAACACTTGGGGATAAAATTTGGGCATATTCTTACAGTATAGCTAATAAGAATATCAGCATTGTAGAATTGATCACAACTACACAGTGAAAAGACTTGAACATGAGCATATTCTCATGACACACTTTAGTTGTATTTTTGTTGTTAACGTTAAAATCATCCTTTAAGGCGAAGATTTTTGTGTTAATGTTTCAGCGGCTTTTTAACACCCCCACCCCCAAATCTATGATCTAGCCAGAGGCAAGCAGACATGTAATGTTAAGGCACTAACTACAGAGTGTATGGATACACACACCAGAAAGACGTTCATGTGTGAAATGAGATCTCCGCACAATCAGTGGGAGTTGTAGCCATAAAGCACATCAGGCTTTTCAGCTTTAAGGTATCATTGAACAAATCGCACAAATCTTTTCACTTGATGACTGTGGCTGCATTCTGGTAACAACTGTGTGTCTTTTTTTCTTCTTCACAGATGGACATTCAAAGATGAAACTGAGTTTTGGGTCCAGCTGTGAGAGGTCTTTCTTTTTTCGGAGCAGAGAATGACAGAAAATGACAGTAACAAATAACACTACACTGATTTTTTTTATTCCTAAAAACACCCCAAAATTTTATCAGTTCTGTTACCTTTTATTCTTGCAACCTTAATAAACTGTAATTTAGACACAAATGAATTCAGTAACACAAAAACTCTCATTTGAAAAAGCTGCAAATAACATTTACTGTATTTAGCTCGAAAATTGTAGAATGTCTAATTACAAATCAGAACATTTTTTTCACTCAAGACAGAGAGACAATCCTGACTTCATGCTGTCATCTCATTTTTACACTAACAGAAGGCCAGCATCTGCCGCACATGGAAGCAGAACTATCTGCTATTTTTTTCTCTCTCTTTTTTTTTGTCATTTGCAATAAAATTTCAACAAACCTCCCTCAGGCCTCCTCAGGGTGTGTGTCTCATTCCCATATTTATCAAGAATAAATCCAAAATGATAATAGCATGTAAGATATGACTGTATGCTGCATTCTTCCTATTGCCCCCTGACATATAACTAGGTTGAAATATGTCTGTATGCTAACACAGAGATACAACGGGCTGTGATGGGAGGCGAAGGATTTCAACAGTACTCCTTCTCTCTGATGGATGGAGACTTCACTGCTACCCAGCTGGAGAAAGCTAGATAGAAAGAGGCAGGGAGGACACAGTGAGTACCAATGGGATAGGAAAACAAAGGAGAAGACAGGGTGAAATCAAAGAAAAGAATAGAGGAATGAATCAGTGTAACAGATAAAGGCGAGCTGCAGAGAGAAGGTGCAATTTACAGGGTATTCAAAAAGTCAGGAAAACCTTTTGCTAAACAGAAACCAAAGATCAGAGATGAGGTCAGACCCATTGCCATAAGTGGTTAATTCTGTCCATTTATTAAAAAAAAAAATAGTTTAAAAAAAGTATTTTATTAAATACACTGATCTAAAGTTAGATGAGAAAATGATATAATGTCTTGAAATGATGATATTATATCTTGTATTTTTCTGTTAACATGACATTTTGATCAATTTCCAAACAAAATACCTACTGGAGAGGAATTAGAACATATGGAAGACAGCAGGTGACTGGGAGAGTGGGAAGAGACAGAAGGATGGTAGGAAGCAGGGTGAGAGCAGCAGGGGAGACAGAGGGCAGGGAGTTTGGGATGGTCTAATAAATCGACTGAGTGACTCCACTCATTTCTGCCCGTGGGACAAATCTACACTCACCAGCAGTGTAGCATCAGGGAATTGTGGGTAATGAGAGATTATTCTTCCCTGTAGTGTTTGCACATCATCATTGCCACCCCCAACCTCACCAGCCTCCCACAAGGCACACACACACACAAGCAGGCAGATTTTGCATTTAAATGCAGTTGTGGAATTATGAGCTCTTAAAGACGTACACACACAGAGAGACGCAAATCATGCAAGCATGCTGCTGTTGGTTTTGTGAGTAAGGTCAAACAGTAAGGTGTTATTCAAATCTGCTGCTGTTGCCAAACTTGGATGTCACACTCAGTGAGGCACAAACACATGTACGGCTCAATGACATCCTCTTTTATCCACAGGTCCTTTTTGCCTGAGGAGGCCAATCTGTCTGGGAGTAGATCCTACATGCATCAAACCAGAACCTGTGTTTGCCCTTTCTCCCTCTCTTCTGTTTCTGCAGCCTGTGGTCTTCTTCGCCCTAGGGCCAGGTTGTGACCACTTGAAGTAGGCTGGTGGTCCCAGCAGACGCTGAGGCTCAGACATGCCATGAGCAGGAGGGAATTAGAGTCATTAGAACTGGAAGGGCGACAGAGGACGAGTCCTTCGCTCTGCAAAGTAAATTTAAGAAGAAAACAGACAAAGTGAGAGGATGTACTATGTCAGTCAGTCCACTGAGAAACATATATCCAATATGTAGTGCATGGATGTATACATACAGATGATATATAGTATTTATACAAAGAGTATATGTTGTGTATGGCCATTACACATGTGAATAATATGTTTAAACTGAATATGTTTTATATACATAAGTTAAAACATGTGAACCTTTGGAATCTGTGCTGGACAGGTCAATGTAATATGTGATGAGAAGAAGACAGGTGTGTAAAGTCAGTTTGTCTTTTGAGAATAATCAAGCTGGAAAAGCACAGAATGGCCTAAGGCTAGCAGTTTTAAACCAATGGTTTCAATTTTGTTTTTGGTGTTGTGTATTCGAGAATTAAGTGTTAAAATAAGATAGGCATGTACTTGCAAAGTGCGAGAGAGAATAGATAAGACTCGGCCAGAAAGATTGAAACAAAAGGGAATATAAAACAGTTCTGTGTTCTTTTCAATAGTATGTTTTCAGTTTAGCATATTTACTTTATCATCCATCCATCCATCCATATATTATCTATAAAGTTTCACATTTTAAAGCAATAACCAGTGTTTTGTAAAGGTGGAAACTGATCAAATTACCAAGAAATGAGGTGCCCCAAAATAGGCAACTGGCCCGGTTCATCACGGCTGCTCAAGGTGCTAGCACAGTAAAATAATCTCCCTGTGTCTCCCTTTCTTCAGTGGTTTATAACATTTTTTTTTTTTTAAATCATCCTGTTTCTTATCTTTGCTGGAGAGCGTTTTACTATTGTCACACATAATATGAGTCAGTCTGCATTCTTCCCCGTGTTACTGTTTAAAACCAGATAGCAAAATTTATCTCTGTAAAGTAATAGAGCAAAATGGTGCATGCTTAACTTCACACACATCCAAATTATAAATTCAAATGTCTTGCGTAAAGGGCACACAGTTTCAAATTGCTGTACATTTTAAGGTTTAACACAGAAATCCATGTCCAGCTTTTGTTTAAAAGAAAATATTTCCCAGTCTGACCCTCTAAGAAAGAGCCGCATCCATCAGATGGATTACCCTCCATATACATTAGCCTGTCTTTGAGCTGCCATTATTCCATTAACTTCAGCCCGGGCAGTTTCCATTATCTTTACACATGCAGAATGTTGAGCTAAAGCTGGAGCAATTATCTGCTTTTTAAGCAAGGTCAGCCTGGTGACCTGAGGGAACTGAGTATCCGCTGGTCACTGTATTAACAGTCAGACATTACGCTATGGGGACAGTCGGTCAAACACACTGTGAGAGAAGTACTTGTCATTGTCTGCTCTTTGCAATTAAAACTCATTTCCATTTACAAAATGTACAATAGTGGTTAGAACAATTGAAACTGAATACGTGAGATGACTGAGATAATGAAGAGGCAAATGCATGTCGCTTTGTTCAACAAAAAAGCCTTTGACAGGGTTTTTTTCCTTAGTTTAACAGGAAAATTCCATTTCCATTAACTCACAAATGACTGTCTTTTGTTCATTAGAGTGTTACCACAGTGCAGATGATCCGACCATGTTGTTTTCTGTCTCATTTGTACTGAATTATACATCAAGACTATGTTCTAGATTTTAAGTTTTGATGAGGCATATCTTGTATGTACAGTACGAGTTACCTGCAGAATATGACAATGAATAAAATTCCACGCATACTGCATCATTCCATGGACTTGGAGTTTTACTAATGATTCTTCAATTAGACTTAAATGCTTGCACTTCTCCCCCACCTCTAACAGACACTATGAAGAGGATTTAGCTACTGTAAGAGGATACAGCATTACTAAAACAGGGACAGGGAAATACCCACCTTGTATGCATAGCCAGACACATACTGTGTGTGTATGTGTGAATTAAGACAGAAGAATTATCTAGTAATATAACATTTCAGTAACTGGCAGATAGTTGCTCTTCATGTACATTTTCTTTGACCGAAAGTGATAATTCCACCAATTTTACATATCAAAGTCTGTTTACAGACCAAACGAAGTCTGTTAACACTTACAAACTTATAAACACTTACAACTTTGTAAATACTAATAATAATAATAATAATTGATCATCATCATTGTCATCATCATCATCATCTATGAGTATGGGGTTAAAAAGTGACCTCTGCAGCCTCATCTCTGACTGAGGGTTGTGGATCGGGACTACATAAGCTGCCACTACAATAACACACCCAAACTGTTGGCAGACGAGATGTATTATGGGTAATGTAGGAACCAGTTTCTGAAAAGTTAGAAGAATGTGTTAAGTAAAAGAAAACAATATCTCTCTAATTATATAAAAGGTTTCCATTGTGAGTCTGACAGTGTTGTATAATTGTAATGATAAACTGGTGGAGTATATCAAAGGTAGATAGTCAAAATTCAGTGTATGACAGTAAATATTAAATGGGTGGTGGTATACACTAAATAGTCTGACTACCTTTAAACACTATACTGTTGCCTAAATGTTGATTTGTAGAATTAATCACTATTATTAGCACCTTCAGCTCAGATACACCTGATTGTGCACAGCAGCCTTGTGCATCTTGTTCACCCTCATCATTGCCATGTCATCACTATCACCATCATCTTCAGCTCATCCAGAGAGTCAACCAGGGCAGGTGTGTTTTCCTAGAATCTCTCTAGGGCAAAAGAATGATAGCGACTGCACCACAAAACTCATGATGCTGCAGTCTGATTAATGTGAAATATTATCATCAGCAGCACTCAGCGTTATCTCACACCTGCCTCATCAGGAGCGCACTGTAAGGATCTCTTAATTAGACAAAAAATTCATTTGGTACAATACTGCACCTATTGGTGAAGAAGACTTTGACTAAATCATTGTCCATTACTGGTTTAACATTAAAAAAAATTTAAAAATCTACTTTTATCTCTGAGACACATTTCTAGGACACAGCACTTGTGACCTTTTTTTTTTTTTTTTTTGGTTTGCTGGGATGTATTCCCAAAACATCATCCCTCCCTGAGATGGTGGTTTCTCTCAAGCATGTTTGTGATCTAAGGGAAGTTTGTTGAATATATGAAGTTTCTTTAGATCTAAAGCACTGGAACTGCCCCTAGTTCCTTAAGAGATACACTGTAGAGAAGGAAAAGCAAACAAGTCTCTAACTTCACTCTAATTTCTGTCCTTATTCTTCTTCTTCCCCTGTTTTCTCTCCTAATAATCATCTCTGTGCCTCATTAAGAAACAGAGGAGTGGAGGCACACAACCTGCTCCAGATGTTTGTTGCAAAAGCCCTGAGGTCCATCCGCATAAGAGAGGTCTTGTGTATCTGTCTGTTGTAATATGTGCAATCAAGTGTGCAGGATGGTGTGAATGTGTGCAGGAGCGTTTCGGTGACACCGCTATAAATCTGCACATCTGAAACATCCTGCTGTGTCTCCTGGCATCGCTCTAAGTGTTCTACTGCCCCACTTCTACAGCAGGCACAGACAGAGAGGGACAAGGTTTTCTCTGTGACAACACTAGATGGAGATGCAGACAAACTCTTTCATCATTGCATGATTTTATTATCTGTTCCTTTGTCTGCTGATATTTTCACACCGAGCAATCCATCAAGTCAAGATATGCAACTGGCAGTATTATTTGGTTGATTTATGGAGCTGATACAGGCTGTTTTAACATCTTTCCAGTCACTGTTTTGCACCTTTGTTTGTAAAGTACAGTATATAGTTTTTCATATTGCTCATTCATTGTGGAATTAATCACTCTAACTGCTGACTGAGTGGTCCACCGTTATTATCCAAAGTGATTGTTGCAATGGAACGCATCAAACATGGCAGCAACAGCGTGCATGACTGGTCTGGGAAATAAATAATAAATCTCCTTGTTGTCTTTCCTAAAAACGTTCTGATCATCTTTCATCAGTGCACACCGATGAAAGATGGGAATGAGAATAGAAAACAGAAAAATGAAAAAGGCTTCAGATCCACATTAGTTGTTAAAAAAAAATTATCGTTGCTCTTTAGAATGCCTGTTGAATCCTACCCCACTAAACATGTTCCGTCTCAGGATATTTATCTTAATGCACAGCCCATACACATTTCAAAAGAAGCAACACTTGTTCTTGAGTTGAATGTTAAGTAGCTGGTTAATCTGCAGGTGAAATTAGATTTGGTAGTGAGACACAGTACATTGCAATTGGTGCACTGAACACTGACAAAAAGTAAACACAGGACACTACTGTATGTGTCTTTGTAGCAGCCATGGAAAATGCTGGTAAGCAAGTGGCACGCTGCTCTGTGATGCTGTACATATAGGGCTTTGAGCTAAATGCTTACATGAGCATGTTCACATTGTTAATGGTGCTGTTTAGTGGATATACTGCTTATCTTTATCAGCATCTTATTTTTATTTATTTTTCAGAAAACATGGCAACACAAGTGTGACACCACCATCCCAGTCCTTCAGTACTACAAATGATACAGGTTTGCAGTGCCTTCACCCTGGCAACCTGCCACAAGATACTCTTTACATCAGGACAAATCAGCAGCAGTGTCAAATAAATAATGGACATGTTTTGAAATCATTTGATCAGTTTACTGCTGAAATCAATTTGCCTTCGACAGGTTTTTGTTTTGTTAAATTCAGACATGTGTTCAGTAAATTATGCTTATATTAGTGTTAGTGATCTAAATTCAGTTTAATAAAAATCAACATCTACTGTACAACTTCAGACCATTTGCATCTACCAAGAATGACACAGGGTGTCTTCTGTGTGACTTAAGTCTTCAGGGACCAAGTGACGATTTAAATCGTACTGACGTCACCAACAGGTGGCAGCAAAAGGCTCAGCTCAGTCAGTCAGTGAGGGAGAAGTGATAATTAATAGTCAGGGTAGAAATGGCAGTAATCCTTGTAGCTCCCTGTAGCTCAGGAAAATTAAAGATTAATTACGGTTGTGCCAGATTTGTGTTCCTGGCAGTGTGGAGAAGTTTTTGAAACAACATGTTGACGTTCATGTTAGAAAATAAAATTTATATTGTAATGACTGAATAGTTAGCTGAATAAAAAATGATTTTTCCCCTAATAATTTTAAAATGTGTCTGTTTGGTGTGGTTCTGGGTAATGGAGACGTGGAGTCTTGGCTGTAGTATTTCTAAAATCCTGCCTATTGTGCTGTAACACAGTCCTGATCTGAACGAGATGTTATGTAGCAATATACCATGCCTATTTTAACCCTTTACAGTGTTGATGCTGTATTTAACATCACAGCGACATGCAGGCCCTTCCCCGATGGGCGTGCGTAAATGGCACTAGCCCGCTCTGAGTACAACTCCCCTAAAAAACAGAAAAAGAGGAAATGAACGCTCGCCCAATCAGAATTGTTCCAAAACTTGTCAGCGAAGTTTTTCTCCCCCTCCGGATACAGCGTGTGTGTCTCATACCGTTTTGATCCATTTGTGTCGCTGGTGGTTCTGCTGGAACGCACAGCGGGAGTCGCATTGTCTGTATGCAAACTGGACGACATGGCCATTGTATGCGTTTGGGCATATATGGAGTCACCGATAGCTCGGAGGATACAGCCTGTCTGAAGTCTAAGGAAGAGACGTCGTCGGTTGTGTTCTGTGTGTCTCTGTCCTCCGACTTTCTCTAAGCTCTCTGCTCTGTCGCTATGAGTTGCCTGGATGTGATGTACCACCAAAGCTATGGAGCGCACTACCTCCCTGCAGCGACGTACTATAACCACCATCAGCAGCAACAACAGGTAGGAAACTCTTCATTTAACTTTTGTAGTTTCGAAGGATTATTGGCAGAAAATAAGATAATACCTTGAATGATATTTGTGTACATTTGAGAAGAATAATTTACTTTCACAAGGGCTCATTTGATCGAGGATGTGAAGGAAACGCGTTATGTATTTCGCAACCTGACTGATACCAGAAATGATTTATTAATCTAACAAAAGTTTAAGTTAAGTACCCAAGCACAACCAGAAAAAACGGGACCTGGTCGCAAGCCCTAAAATCAAAGCTAATGTAAAATGTCCTTTATGAATAATCACTTATAACAAAAAGTTTATTCCTGACTGGTGTCTCTTCAACACACCACTTGAAAATGTCTTAGTCTCATTCACACAACTCTTAACTTTAGTTGAAGTTTCAAACGATTAAATTCCAGCCTGGGATTGGGTATTCACCTCAGGTCAAGCGTAATGGCACGGAGCTATTAATCCTGCAGTCAAATAGTGATGTAATGACAGCCAGTCAGTCACCCAGGAATGTGGATGAGGCACACTGAGCTATACAAATAGCTGGAATGCACTATGGGGGAAAAAGAAACTAACTTTCACACAGCTCCCATATAATATTATTGCTAACATGTAATGGTGAAGAGTAAATATGATATGTGATTTAATTAAATGATTTGTTTGTTTATTTATGTGTATAGTATTAAGATTCTGTACAATATTTTGTCTATAAAATAAACAGAAATCAACTGCACTCCAAACAGTGCTTATGCTCATTTAAAATGTCAGTTCTTTGCAGTTCTGTTTGAGTGTAGTTTATTACTGTTTGGATATGTTATTTACTCTCTCTGTGTCTGTTCTTCCAGAGGAAGCTGAGTGTTTACAGTAAGATGCAGGGGTGTATGGAGCAGCAGCAACAAGGAGGAAGAAGAAGGATGCTAACCAGGGACCAGGGTCCTCAGCAGGCTTCTGGAAGCGAGTTAAATCACAGATCAACATCTGATGCTGATATGAAAGATGGCACTCAACCAGCAGAGACAGAATACTTGAGCTCCCGATGCGTTTTGTTCACGTATTTTCAAGGCGACATCGGGGATGTTGTAGATGAGCATTTCACGCGGGCTCTCAAACAGACAGGCACCTTCAACAGTGAAACCAGGCTGCTCAGAGTGACTCAGTCATCTGCTTCAGAGACTGCCAGCTTATGGAAAGGTGAGAGGAGCAATAAATCTGAAATAATATCTAAACAGTAATATGCATAATGGTGTGGTTACATTACCCTGGGGGTTTGTAAAGCATTTAAATTACTGAACAAAGTAAAACCATGTAGCAGAGTGTTAGTCTTTCTGATGTTTGTCTCAGATGGCGGGTCTCTCTCTGAGGGTCAGAGCAGCTCAGTTTGGAGCAGCACCTATCCATCACACACTGGTTCCTGCCTCCCATCTGTCTCGGCTCCAGTCCACCCAGACTTTTCCCACAGCCCTGTTTCCTTCAACCACCCCGACGGAGCTCTGTGGGCCGGCCATGTGCTCTCCCAGGCCAGTTTACCACCTCCAACTACCCTCCCAGACAGCTGGACCTACAGCCTGAGCCCCCAGGGCATGAGTGGATATCACAATGTCCATGACATCTACCATCCTCACCCACACATCCATTCCCGGCACCACCACCCAGTGCTCCATTCATGCCCAACCCACAGTCCCTCACTGGATTCCAGGTTTAATCCTCTGCTACTGCCTGGTGTTAGGAACCAGGGCCAGCCTGCTGCCAGCACAGGGAGTTCCCCAAACAGTGAGGGGGTGAGGACGGAGATGGATCCCAGCAGCAACAGCCCTGTCACCTGGACCCCCTCAGCCTTACATGGATCTTTGGAGGTGTATGACTCAGGTAGATACTGCAAAGCAGGACAGTTATGAGGAATTTGTCAGACTTCATATATAATATAACGTGCA